CACCCCCTCGGCGTACCCTGCCCCCCACGCACCTCGGACACAGTCCAGCCCCCCGGCCATACCCCCACCCCCTCGGCGTACCCTGCCCCCCACGCACCTCGGACACAGTCCAGCCCCCCGGCCATACCCCCATCCCCTGGCGTACCCTGCCCCCCAGCACCTGGACACAGGCCAGCCCCCCGGCGTACCCTGCCCCCCAGCACCTGGACACAGTCCAGCCCCCCAGCGTACCCCACCCCCTGGCACTTGGATACAGCCCCAGCCCCCCCCCCGGCACCCAGGCCCATCCCCCTGCTGTACCCCCAGCCCCCGGCACCAGACATGGTCCCGCCCCCTGTCCCCCCCAGTCCCCAGGATCCCCAGCCTGGGGCCGCCCCCGCCCGCCTGTTTCGGGGTTTGTGCCGGTGACTCAGTCCCTCATGCAAATGAGGTAGCGAGCGGCTCCTGGCAGCCTGGCTCCGGGCCCACTTGGTCCCGGGGCTGCAAAGCCAGGCGAGCAGGCAGGAGCTGGGGGGCCGTGTCTGCGGCCTGGGGGGCAGGGACCCCCTGGGGCTGGCCGGAGGGCGAGCAGGCAGCGTGGACAGGCAGGGGTTAAATTCTCACCCTGGAGGTAATTCCTGGGGGGGAGGGTAGCTTGGGGGGGAGCAGGGTTGGGCGGAGGGGGGAGTTGGCTGGGTTGTGGGTCACCCCCAATTTGAGTCAGCGGGGGAGGGGCTGGGGAGGGAATCTGATGGGGGGGGTTAGGCTTCAGGTTTCCATCTGTGGGAGGGGGGAGCCCCAGCCTGAGAGCACCAAGTGGTGGAGGGGAAAGGGCCCATGTCATCCCCCCCTCCCGCCCCCCGGGCTGGCACTCCCTATAGGGGACAGGCCCCATGTCCCATCCCCTCCCTCTCCGTCCTGGGGCTGGATCGGGGCCAATTCTGTGCCCCACTGCAGCGAAGGGACCCAGCCCCCACCTGGCCGGCCCCCCACCCGGACACAATCTTGGGCCTTGTCACTGAGCAGCCAACAGCGTGGGGAGGAGGGGGCCGGGAGCCAGGACGCCTGGGTTCTCTCCTGGCTCTGGGAGGTTAGGGGAGAGGGAGGGGGGAGCCAGGACGCCTGGGTCCCTGGCCCGGTTATTCATCGCTGCCCATCTCTCTCTCTAGAAATAAGAATGTCTAAGCCACTGGAGCTGGAGAAGACACGAGTGGAGCCACATGGGGAGCACACAGGTACCCCCGAAACCCTGCTGGGGGCTGCCCCTCTGCCCACCAGTCTCCCCCCCCCCCCAGAGCCGGCGAAGGGGTCGGGGACGAGGCCCTTAGCAGGCCCTGTGGGTGCCCTGGTTTGGGGGGGCCAGTGCTGGGGGGCAGGGCCGTGGGGCGGGGGGGGGCTGCGAGGGTTTGATCCCGCTTGGGGAGGCAGGAGACGAAGGTTCATTTTCTCTCTTGTTCCAGACACAGAACGAAACGGTCCCGACACAAACCACCAGGTGAGTGAGAAGGGGGAGTTCGGGGGGGGCCGAGGCAGAGCCCGGTGTCGGCGGGAGCGTGGCAGGGTCCGGAGAGGTGGGGGGCTGGGGGAGCAGTGGAGTTGGGGGCGTACGGGGACCATGCAGGGCTAGGGGATCACGGTGGGGGGGGTGCACTGGGGTCGTGGGAAGCACGGTGCAGGTGGGGGGAGCACAGTGGGGTTTTGGGGGGAATGGGGGCACAGGAGGGTCCCCATTCCCCCACTGACTCGAGGTCCCCCCATCTGTCGCAGACCCAGCAGAGCAAACCAGCCCCATTCTCCCCGGCCCCCACCGGCCCCAGCCCCAAGGTAAGAGCCGTGCCTGGGGGGGCGGTGGGGGGCTGTGCTTGGCGGGGGCCATGCCTGGTTCCCAGGGGTTTTCACCCCCCCCGTTCCTGTTTTCGCTCGGTTGGCTGCCTGCGGGCGATGACTCAGGGGGGTGGGGGTGGGGGGAAATCCCGGGGCCCCCGGGGCGGCAGCAAAACAGGAAGCGGCTCAGCGGGCGGGTGGGGGGGACGGGAGAGCATGCAAGCGAGCGCCCCACCCCCCTGCCAGCCCCCCTCCGCAAACTGGGGAGCTGAACCCCCCCCGGTATCCCTGGTCCTGTCCCCCATCGCAGCTCCCCAGCCCTGCCCCCCAGATGGCCCCCCGTGCCGGCGGGGCTGGGGGAGGGGATCTCCCCGCCCAGCACCTCAGAGTTTCCGAGGGGGGGTGAGTCTGGCTCCGTCGGGGGAGGGAGAGATCAGCGTGAGAACGGCCCAGGCTGGCCCGGGGCCAAAAGCCTCCCCCCCAGCCAGGCCCCCCTCTGACCCCCGACCCCCCCACTCTGACCCCCCCACCAGGCTCCTCTCTGACCCCTGACCCCCCCACTCTGACCCCCCATCAGGCCTCCCTGTGACCCCTGACCCCCCTCTGACCCCCAACCCCTTCACTCCAACCCCTCTGCCAGGCCCCCTCTGCCTTCTGACCCTCCCATTCTGAACCCCAACCAGGCCTCCTTGTGACCCCTGACCCTCCCGACTCCTGACCCCCCAATCTGACCCCCCACCATGCCCCCCTCTGACTCCTGATCCCTCCGCTCTAACCCCTCTGCCAGGCCCCCCCTGACATCTGACCCCCCCACTCTGACCCCCCCACCAGGCCTCCCTGTGACCCCTGACCCCCCCCACTCTGACCCCC